AGGGAGAAGCAGGCTCCCCGCCGAGCAGGGAACCTGATGAGGGACTCGATCCCAGGACCCTGGGATCATGACCTGAGCCAAAGGAAGACACTTAACCGACTGAGCCACCCAGGTGCCCCAAGATAGACACTATCTTAACTTCCCTGTGAAACAGCTAGAAAAACTGAGGCACAGGAAAGGTTAAGTAACTAGCTCAAGGTAGCACAGCTGGTAAGTGGAAAAGCTGAGATTTGAACCGAGACCATCTCACTCCAGAGCTTGGGTTTTCCCCACTACCTGTCAGTTTTAGACCAGACTGACTCGGAAATCCTGGAATCCTTCAACTCCTGGTTTGGAGTTGACTCCTTTTCTCCTGGAACCTCAATTTCCTCATTGCTGCCAGGAGGGACCCTTAATTGGAGCCCTCAAAGTCAGGGTGTTCACGCTGAGTGTTGGTGCCTCTGTCAGGAACCACTCCACCTCACACACACGAGGGAAGGTTGTAGGCAGAAGCAGCCCAGAGCATCCCACCCTGGGACTGGATGGAATGCTGCTGATTAGCTCTCCTTTGACCCAGCTGGGCCTCCTAGGTTTGGCTGTGTTTCCAGCTCCAAGAACAAAAGATCATTCTGCCTGACATTAATTATCCAATTGGACAGCCCCTCACACGATTCCAGAGGGCACCACTCCCTTATGAGCATTGCTCACTCATCCTTTTTCTTCCCATTTTGTGAGTTTTTAGCTTCTTAAACCTGCTTTTCTTTCTCTTGGTGTTTTGAATGGAATTTTTGCCGTTGGCTCTTCTCAATGCAGGTAGAAAAATCCCAGTGAGATGAGAGCAGGGATATCCCCTTTGCCAGTAAAGCTGCAGAAGGCTACTCTAGAGTAAGAAGACTTGTCAGCCAGCTGGACTTCAGATGTTGTTACACCCTCTTTGAGAAAATGTTAATCTCCAAGTATAGCTTCCCATTCTGATGATCTCATCCCCATTATGCCCCTGATGATACATTTCTGTTAACATCTTTGTTTCCTGGGGCGCCTGTGTGGCTCAGTCGATAAGCGTCTGCCTTTGGCTCAGGTCATGATCCCAGGGTGCTGGGATCGAGCCCCGCATCGGGCTCCTGCTTGGCGGGAGGCCTGCTTCTCCCTCTCCCACTCCCCCTGCTGTATTCCCTCTCTCGCTGGGTCTCTCTGTCCAAAAAAAAAACCCAAAAAACAAAACTTTGTTTCCTGTGAGAATGTTGAACTCTACCCCACCCTGTATTCCTGGAAAACAGCAGCAGTGGAAGAAATCTCCCCAGCCTTATGTTCCTGGAAAAGTATTACTGCAAAAAACCACCATTCCCCATTTGAATTAGATAAGACCCCAGATAACACCCTTGTTTATCTAGGATAGGGCCAGACACTTTCCCATCCTTTGTCTCATACAAGATTAGCTGAACTGGGCGCCTGGGTGGCTCAGTTGGTTAAGCGACTGCCTTCGGCTCAGGTCATGATCCTGGAGTCCCAGGATCGAGTCCCGCATCGGGCTCCCTGCTCAGCAGGGAGTCTGCCTCTCCCTCTGACCCTCCCCCTTCTCATGTGCTCTCTCTCTCTCTCAAATAAATAAATAAAATCTTTAAAAAAAAAAAAAAGATTAGCTGAACTATTTGTCCCTGTTGATCAGTTGGAACAAAATATTTGTGACCTTGGGGTGCCTATCTGGATCAATCCATAGAGCGTGCAACTCTTGATCTTGGGGTTGTGAGCTCAAGCCCCATGTTGGATATAGAGCTTATTTTAAAAAAGGTAAAAAGTAGGTATTTGTGACCTTGATATGACCAAACTTTAGTTAATCTCTCCTCCCCACAGGACCCTGAACTCTGAGGTACCATCAGCTTGGGCAGCATGAGAATGCAGAATAGCCCCTCAACATCCCTCAGGAAAATCAGGTGACAAAATTGAGAAGGAGGAGGAGAGGGAGGAGAGGGAGAAGAGAAGACGTTCCTTGATCAACTGTCCAATGCCTGTTCTTTTTTTCTAGCAACTCCATAAAAGCAAAACCTTTTTCTGCCTGACCTTTGAAAGGCAGATCTTGTGGTCAGAGCTTCCTATTACTGTAGTTTTTCCCAATAAAGTCTCTCTTTTAAGCCCAGATTTTTTTCACTTGACACCTGCAAGGTTTTGGGAGAGTTTTCACTGTTAAGCCCCAAAAGACAGTTATTGCCATGTCTTCTTCCCCAGCTCTCCCAACCCCCTCAAGCACCGTGCCTGGGGTGGGATTAAAGGCTTCTGCTAGATTTCATATTTAAACAGAGTTTGAGAGTCTGTGTCTCATTTAAGTTAATACCTAAGATGTGCCTGAGAGTGCAGGCGCAGAATGAATCTGGCAGAGGGCTTCTTGTTGCTGAGAATTTGATTTCAGCTAGTAACAGGATCCTATTGGCTTAGCTAGGGGAGAATCCTCTGGTGCTTTCTGGACCTACTAACTAATGCCACATGGGACAATAAATGCCTTCTCCCCTCTTCCAATTGAATCAGTTCGGTTGTCCTTGTTAGCAACAACATAAACTGCTGGTGGCTAATTTGAGGCAGAAAAGGGCCCTATTGGAAAGATTTCAGGCAAGGAAAGCTGGAGAGGTAGGCATGGAAAGGGGCTGGAATCAAGGGAAGTGGCAGCAGAGACCTTCTAGCCAGGATGCTTTCCTTGGCCCTGGTGCCCCAGACATGCCTCCAAATGGAATATGGTATCTCGGAACTTCCTGTGGTTGTTAGAGTGATGTCCTCCCCTCCCCTCCCCACTAAGATATGCATATCATAACCCCAGGAATTTGTAAATATGTTCCCTTATATGGATGGCAAAAGGACTTGGCGCAGATATGATCAAGCTAAGGATCTTGAGATGGAGAGATTGTCTTGGATTATTCTGGTGGGCTCAATGCAGCCATGGGGTCCTTACAAGTGAAAGGAGGAGGCAGGAGAATGAGAGTCAGAGAAACAGGTGGGACAAAGGAAGCTGAGATTGGACTGATAAAATTACTGATGGGGGCCACAAGTCAGGGGATGCAGACAGGCTCTAGAAGCTGGAAAGGCAAAAAACCATTCTCTCCTAGAGCCTCCAGAAGGAATGCAATCCTGCTGACTGCTTCATCTTAGCACAGTGAAACCCATTTTAGACTTCTGACCTCCAGAACTGTATGATGACAAATTTGTACTGTTTTAACCCACAAAAGTTTGTGGTAAACTTGTAAATATAATTTACAAATAATTTTTAAAATATGCAACATTTGTAAACAATATGGGATTCCTGGGCATGGGTCCCAGCATGTATTTTTCAAGGACTCCCAAGTGATTTCCAATGTGCAATCAGGGTTGAGCACCTCTGCAGACATCTAAGAGAGCTGGTAAATTAATGCTGGCAGAATTCTGCATTCTTTTAAATACTAAATGCATACACTAAATATTTTGATACCCACAATACTTTGTGAGCTACGTTTTATTTTCTTCAGTCTAAATGCAAAGAGATTGAATCCAGAGAGAGCGAGTTCAAAATCAACCAATTAGGAAGTGTTGCTGACAGGATTTGAACTCAAGCCTTTTTGCCTTGCCACACTGAGTCTTAACTCCATCATACTGCTGATGCTGCTACTACTCCTGTCAAATTGAGACACTTTATTTTTTAGAGCAGTTTGTTACTGCTTGAGGAATGCTTTTGGTTTCCATCATGGGATGCTATGCCCCTTGGGTCTTTTTTTTTTTTAAGATCTTATTTATTTATTTGACAGAGAGAGACACAGCGAGAGAGGGAACACAAGCAGGGGGAGTGGGAGAAGGAGAAACAGGCTTCCCACAGAGCAGGGAGCCTGATGTGGGGCTCAATCCCAGGACCCTGGGATCATGACCTGAGCCAAAGGCAGATGCTTAACGACTGAGCCACCCAGGCACCCGCCCCTTAGGTCTTTTGCCTAAGAGATGAGCTGGAAAGACGAGCTAAAGGAAAAATGTGGAATAAAGGTCGGTGCATACAAGCAGGTGAGCAGTAAAGGTCAGATCTTGGGGTCTAGCTGGTGACAGTTTCACAGCCTTCTTTGAATCCTTGCTGGCATCTAAATGTTTACAGATATCAAGTCACCTCTTGACTCCAACTCCTCCCAATTCCTCCTCTTCCTAACATAAAAATGAAAGAGGACCTCGGCTCCCTCCATTTTGACCTCAAACTTTCTAGTTGGGTTCTTCTTTCCACTTGTCTCTTGGCTCAAGTGGAAGAACCTGAGGGCAAAGCATCCCCTGAAGGGAACCAAAGCTACCCCCTCAAATAATAAGGACTGCCCTGAGCCAGCAAGGCCCCGTGATTGACTCCAAGACAGTGATTGATTTGACCCTCAGTACCTACCTTCACATACCCACCCACCTTTGCCCCACATTTTCCTTTTATAAATATGGAAGTATTTTCAGCACTTTGGAAATAGTCTTTGAGACATTAGTCCACTGTCTTCCTGGGGTTGGCCTCACTGAAATAAATTTCTTTCTTGTTTCACCACCACCTGTCTCTCTGCCTTTGGATTTTGTCGGCATTGAGTGGGCGAACCTGGTCTGTTAGGACCACCCAGGAGCTTGGGCTACAAAAGAAGTTCAAATTTCATGCTAAGTTAAGATTGTTCATTAGGACATAGTCCATCACCTTCTCAGTCTGCTGGATTCCTGAATAAAGTCACTTTCCTTACCCCAGCATCTTGCCTCTCCACTTATTGACCTGTTCCACTATGAGTGGAACAAGCTTGGACTTGGTTACATCACCACTTTCCCTCCAGAGCTGGATGTGTTCTCTGAGGGCCTGACCCCTTCTTCCCCAAGAACAACTTATTTTAACTTGGGCTTTCTTCCCCAATCTTTCTACTCAGAAAGATTTGAGATGGAAGGACAATGGAACCTTAGTCTTGGACAACAGCCCTGTTTCAGGTGGATAAAGTAATGAAGATAATGGCAATCATATTCAACTAAAAAAAAAAAAATCCTGTGGGGCACCTGGGTGGCTCAGTCGGTTAAACGGCTCCCTTCGGCTCAGGTCATGATCCCAGTGTCCTGGGATCAAGCCCCACTTTGGGCTCCCTGCTCAGCAGGGAGTCTGCTTCTCCTTCCCCCTGTTCTTGTGCTTTTGCTTGTTCTCTCTCCCTCTCAAATAAATAAAATCTTTTTTAAAAATGCTGTATAGGGGCGCCTGGGTGGCTCAGTCGTTGAGCGTCTGCCTTCGGCTCAGGTCATGATCCCAGAGTCCTGGGATCAAGCTCTGCATCGGGCTCCCTGCTTAGCGGGAAGCCTGCTTCTCCCTCTCCAACTCAACCTGCTTGTGTTCCCTCTCTCGCTGTGTCTCTGTCAAAAAAATAAATAAAATCTTAAAAAAAAAAAAATCCTGTATAACATCAAATTGCTACTTTTTAATTTTGCTCCAGTATTAACAACACTGGATTTATCCCACTCTGTCCACCCACTCCCTGGCCCTTTAAGGTAGGGTAAAGCTAGCTGGCATACATGGACTACATTTATAGGGATTCTGTCCAATATGAGTTCTTTGATATTCAATAAAGTGAGAATTCTAGTTGAAAGATTTTGCACAGTTGTGACATTCATGAGATTGCTCTCCAGTATGAGTTCTCTATGCCTAATAAGTAAAGAACTCCAGCTGAAAGATTTTCCACACTGAGGATACTCATGCAGTTTCTCTTCAGTATGAATTCTCTGATGAGTAACAAAGTGAGAACTCCGACTGAAGTATTTCCCACACTGAATATATCCATAAGGCTTCTCTTCAATGTGAGTTCTCTGCTGTGAAATAAAGCCAGAGCTCTGAAAGAAAGATCTCCTATATTGACTATACTCATAAGGCTTCCCTCTATTATGCTTTCTTTGATAAATATTAAAATCAAAGATGTGACTGAAAGATTTCCCAAACGAGTTACAACAGAATAGTTTCTCTTCAGTGTTAGTTTTTGATGCCTAATTAGTTGAGATGTCCTACCAAAAGCTCTACCACATTCATGACATTCATGGGGTCCCTCTCCAATATGAATTATATAATGTCTAACAGGGAAGTCCAGCTGAAAGGCATCCCATGTTGATTATTCATAGTTTTTCTTGGGGATGAGTTCTTTAGACTGTTGAATAAACTTTATTGATAAATTTTCTGAAATTGAAGCATTCTTGTATTCCTGAAATAAACTGGTCATAGTGTTTTGCTTTAGATACACTGCTGGTTTGATTAAATACTTTCTTTTCTCTCTTTTTAAAATATTTTTAACATATATTTATATTCATAGATGAGTCTGGATGATAAATTTTTTTATACCATCTATCAGATGTGGGTATTATGTTATCTTCATTTAATATTGTGTGAAGCTGTCCATTTTGTTTTGATGTGGAATTATTTAACAATTTGGAATAGTTAATGTTAGATTTAAAGTCAGCTATAAAGTCTCCTGGGCTTTGTGTCCATGTCACTTCCATGATAATTATTCTATTTAAGTTTTCTGCTGCTTCTTGGGTCACTTTTGTTTATTTATATTAGGAAAGTGTCCATATAGTTCTGTGTAAGGTCTTATAATTCATCTTTTCTGTACCTGAGGTTATCTTTTTTCTCATTTATAATATTTTTGTTTTCTGAATCAGGCTTGGGAGGGGTTTATCTATTATCTTAACCTTTCCTTTCTCTTCATTCTCCATTTCATTAACTTTGGCTTTAATCTCAATTAACTTGATAAATTTGTTTCATTTTTGGTTTATTATTGTTTTTCCAATTCCTTAAAGTAAAATACTTTTTGATAATTCTACTTTAATAATACAGCCAAGGCCATAATTTTTCCTGTTATACAGCTTAGCTGTGCACCATTTGTTTTGTTGTGTTCTCATTTTTATTATTTAAAAAAAAAGATTATTTATTTGAGAGAGAGAGAGTACGCACATGCATGCACGAGCGCTGGGGGAGGAGCAGAGAGGAAGAGAGAAATCTCAAGCATACCCTCTACTGATCGCAGAGCCTGATGCAGGGCTTGATCCCACAACCCTGAGATCATGACCTGAGCTGAAATCAAGAGTCAGATGCCCAATGAACTAAGCCACCCAGGAACTCCATGTTCTCTTTTTTAAGGTAGTTTATAATCTGATTTTATTTTCTCTTTGGTTCAAGGATTAGTTTGGAAGTTATTTCTTAATGCTCAGGAAATTAAGATAATTTTATAATCTTTTTATTATTTACCTATACTTTATTATTTACTCATACTTCTGTTAATTTATGATCAGATAATGTCACCTATAAAAATTTATACTTTAATATTAAAGTTTTTTGTGATTAAGCACACATATATTCTTGAAACCATAGGGTACAAAAATCCTACATACACCTATTAAATTGAACTTATTAATTTTTATTCAATTTTTCATTGTTTATTTCATATACTAGATATGTCTGATTCCAAAGGCAACATATTAAATTCCTTCTCCACAATTGCTTTTTCTTTTCTTTGCCCTAATCAAGTTCTCCTTGTATCTCAAATTGATTTTTGTTTTAATTGCCATTTTTTAGTTGCATATAGGTTTTAAATTATAATTTCTTCTTTTACAGTACCTTGCTCACACCGAAATGTCTTTGCTCTCTTCAAACCTCTTTTTTTTTTTTTTAATTTTATTTATTTGAGAGAGGGAGCGAGAGAGAGAGCACAAGCGGGGGTGAGGGGGAGGCAGAGGGAAAAGCAGACTCCCCAATGAGCAGGGACCCTGACACAGGGCATGATCCCATGACCTGAGCCGAAGGCAGATGCTTAACCAACTGGGCTACCCAGGTGCCCTTCTTTTATGATCTTCCATTGGCCATATTTTTCTAAGTATAATTGAAGCCCCTATGAGCGGGTGGATGATTCTCATGTGGCCTTTGAATTGTTTTCTCCAGGCATTCAAGGACTGCTTGTTGAGCAAGTGACCCAAAGCATGTACATCTCCCAGCTCTGCCACTTCTACTTCTGTCCCTTTGCACAACTTGCTGAGTTTCCTTCTGTTCACCCACAAATCAGGAAGAATACTGCCGGCCTGGGAAGGTTATTGTGCGCACTAAGATACTGAAATGAAGCAGGGGCTCTGATGGTTGTCCAGATTGTTGGCTGTCATTAAATGCCAGCTTTGAAGAGTAATAAGGGGGGTTGTTTCTGTGTTCTGTGATCCGAGGCTCTGAGGAAAGCCAGGTCTCAGCTTGTGAACTGGGCCATTTTCTCCAGCCTTCAGATGACTCATAATTCTACCTCATCCATTTCTACAAGTGCAGCTGCCTCTCCCCCAGATGTTACATTTGCATCCTTTTCTAGCAGACAACAGTCCTTGTCTCAAGCTCACAAAAAAAGTCTGAGCATCCTCCTCATCCAGACTGTTAGACTTTTCCTCCCTAACCAATCTCCACATTTCTGTGAGAACTGAGATTCATTCCACTAGAATCAAACCACTAGTTCCCTTTAGGTTGCCAACCCCAGGCACAGTGTCTGCCCCCATACCCTCCAGCAGATCCAGTGCTTCCCATTGAGATACACCATCCCTTATGGCACAGATCAGCACCCACCGGTAGAAACTTGCAAATCATGTATAACCCATGCTTTAGTTTGCTATCAATGCAGAAACAAATTACCACAAAGTTAGTGGCTTGAACAATACAGATTTGTTATTTTACCATCCTGGAGGTTAGAAGTCTATCACTGGGCTGAAATCAAGGTGTCTCCAGGACTGTGTTCATTCTGAAGGCTCTAGAAAATGAGTCCATTTCCTTGTCTTTACCAGCCTTTAGAAGCCACTCACATTCCTTGGCTTATGGCCCTGCATCACTCCAATCCCTGCTTTTGTCATCATATCTTCCTCTCTTACTCATACCCTTCTGTCTCCCTCTTATAATGACCTTTGTGATGACACTGGGCCCATGGGGATAATCCAGGATGATCTCCCTGTTTCAAAATCCTAACATAATTGATGACAACTGCAAAGTCCCTCTGGCCATGTGAAGCACCATTTTCACAGGTTCTGGGGACCAGCAGTGGACATCTGTGGGGCCGTCACTGTGCCTCCCATGATCCCCCAGATTCAAAGACACTGAGCCCTGATGGCAAACTCGTGAATGTAATGGTGGGTGCTGCTGATATGAATTATGTGTGGGTGGGAAAAGATGGGAAACCACCGGCTTCATATATTCAAATCCTGCATCATCTCAACCTACTTTAAGGGAAGTGGGAACTCTTCACTTCAGAGATGAATTTCTCTGGCCTTCTAAAGCAGTCAACTGGATTTCAAATTTGGTCACTTTCAGTAAATGACCCCAAACCTCAGGGGCCCTGGATGAGCTGCTAGGCAAGCTCACCCTCATCTGTTCACCCCCTTAGGGGATGATTTCTCCTCTCCTCATTCACCACCCAACATCATGTAGCCTTGTCACAGTTTCAGCTGATAACACCACTTCCATTTCCCTGAGGAAACAGAAAACCCCAGCATCCTTAATGACCTCATCTCATGGAAGTTACACAGCTTGACTTCTGCCAACCCTATGGATGGAAGCAGTCACAAGCCCAGCCAGATTCTAGGAATGGAGGAAAGGCAAAGCATTTGTGGCCATATTTGAAACCACCACAGATGTGAAAGCATTCAGCTCATCTCCTTCAGTGACCATCTTCTGGCAACAAATCAGTGTATGACATTTCAGGATGAATTGACCTCGTTTGAGGACATGGCTGCGGCCTTCACTAGTGGGCACTGGGCATCATTGTGAGGTCACTCCCAAGGTGAATAGACATCCCTACATCATCAGGACTTGGAAAAGGAACTGCTGATGTTCTCCATTCAAAACTGCTCTGTCTCCCCTGGAAAGATCTCCCAACTGTGTAGTGGGAGGGCAGCACTGGTAAGTTCTTCAGCCCCTATATGTTTAATCTCTCAAAGAAGTTAGCACGTGGGGGCGCCTGAGTGGCTCAGATGGTTAAGCATCTGCCTTCGGCTCGGGTCATGATCCCGGGGTCCCGGGATCAAGCCCCACGTCTGGCTCCTGACTCGGCGGGGAGCCTGCTTCTCCCTTGCCCTCTGCCTCTCCCCTGCTCATGCTCTCGCTCTCTCTCTGTATCTCTCTGTTTCAAATGAATAAATAAAATCTTTAAAAAAAAAATTTTAAAAAAGAAGTTAACACGTGAAGATGTTTAAATGTGATATAGCAGCCCTGCGCCCTATGCCTGATGCATGATTCAGGCAATAGGACAGCTGGTGTGCCATCAACATTCTCCAGGCACCTGGCCTCCTGGCTCCTCTAGCCTGTCTCCAGGGGCTCTTCATTTCTGTAGAGAAAGGAGTGAGACTCTCTCACTCCAGAAGGCATGACTGTGCCTCACCCTTGTCAGCATGAGCCCAAGGGCTCTTAAGAGGCGTGCTCAGCAGCATTCACCCAATATCTGATGAGTATAAGTTCAATTAGAACACGTTTTGAAATATTATGCACAACTCAAAGAGAGCAGAGGTGAAGTTGTGGAGCAAGGGGTGGGATGGGCTGCAGGTTACAGGCTGTGTGACGGGAGAAATGATTTTAATCTGTCCTTTCACGTAAAAAAATGAAATGCGGGCATCAAACACATGCCCTAACGCTGCCAGTTTCCTGCTGCTTAACTTGGTGATGAGCATCCAGCCAGGGTAGTTCCTTCCCTTGAAGGAGTCCTGTAGGAAAAGTGGAAATGTGAATCGAATGAACATTCCCGGGAATTGCCCACGCTGGCCTGGGGTTTCCTTCCCTCTAGGTCTCCAATGGTTGTTCAAGATTCCCATTCCCTGAACCTAACATTCCCTGCATGTTGATGATGTTCTAAGGATCAGAAAGAGCCACTCATCCTAACTCATTTGGAATCTTGGGCCGGAGGGTCTGCAGCCTTGCATGGAGTCTTCTAGAACTGGTCTGACAATCTGTTTTGTTTTAATGCTGCTTAAATATCAAATTATTAATGAAAAGATATTTAATAGGTGGTAAAAACACAGATTCTATCACAGAAATAGTTTATTTATCCTTGTTCTCTTTTAGTCCTTGTCCATATGCATAAATACTTTACCACAAATATAATATCAGTGCACAGAATTTTTGGTACCTGGCTTTTCAAACTTACATTATAAGCATTTTCAGGTTTCACTAGTATCATTTTTAATGACCAAATATGCAAATTATAATAGCAAATCAAGTGAGTGAAAAATTAAATGTTTTTCCAACCTATATTCATTAGCAACGACTCCCCACCAATTTGCTTATTTACTCATGTGCAGGGTGGTCTCCCTGGTTGTCCTTTGGTCTTGAGAACATCATCACTCAATGCTGCTTTTCACATTCAGTTCTGAATGCCAACCAGGTCTGTTCGTGTTACGTTGCAGGATCAGGCTGAAAAGGCATTGTCTCTTCAACTGGCTCAGCCGGAGGGCTATGAGGTAGGCTGTTTCTTCTTGCATTTCACCCCACTGTGTGTCCTCTGATGCCCAATGAGGTGTGAGCTCTGGGTGAAGGCCTTTCCGCATTTGTTGCACGTGTAGGGGCGCTCCCCGGTGTGCGTTCTCTGGTGCCTGATGAGATGGGAGCTCTGGCGGAAGGCTTTCCCGCAGTCCTGGCACTGGTAGGGCTTGGCTCCGGTGTGAGTCCGCAGGTGCTGGGAGATGGCCGAGCGGTCATTGAAGGTCCGGCCACACTCATGACACTCAAATGGCCTCTCTCCTGTGTGGACTCTCTGATGCTGTGTGAGGGAGGAGCTCTGAACGAACGCCTTCCCACAGTCCTGACACACATACGGCTTCTCTCCTGTGTGGATTTTTTTATGTACAGAGAAGTATCTTGGGTTTCGGAAAGTTTTGCCACATTCGCTGCATCTGCAAACTTGGCTCCCTTTGTGGATTCTTGTGAATGTGATCTGCTGAGCGCTCCGGCTGAAGGCTCTCCCACAACCACTATTTTCTCTGGCTTTTTCCCCTTTGTGGCCCTTCTGATGAACTTTTACACATGGACCGCGCGTCACCTTCTTAACCTGCGAGCCACGCTTGCGCAAGCGTTTTCTAGGGAGAGTTTTCTGGAGTGAGATATGGCTTTTGACAAGGCTAGAGTTTCCCCGGGATGGGGAGCTTTTCTGAGGGAGGGTTTCTTCCTGAGTTGGCCCCACCTGCTTCAGTGCTGTGTCCAAGACTTCCTGGGCCTCACCCTGTGAGACGTCTCTTGACGTAGGGGACCAGGTGTCATCCCTTGAGAATTCTTCCATTTTCAGGTCGTGGGCTGGTTCTTTCTCAGGAATGTCAGACTTTGGAGTTAACTCTTTACTTTCCAGTGTAGTCTCCCACCCTGAAAGTACCCAAAAGGTGTGGATATAGTAGAGAGAAACTGCTAAATGGGCTGACAGTATGACATAAGCAAGTATTCAAAAGTTGTTTTTTTTTTCCAAGTACAGTCATACAACCTGGGGGAAGTACGAAAAGCAGTGAAGCAACAGAGAGGAACATGAGCTTGGCAATCGGGGATGGGGCTAGAACTGGGAGCACTCTCCTGGCTCTCCAACTCCTCTTATGCCTTCAAGGTGGGCAGCAAGTCAGTCCTTCACTGGACCTGAGGCTGCTGCCGTCCACACAATGCCCACCCCTCTAGGTCCACAGGGCCGGCTGAAGGCATGGACTGTGCAAGGAACATTCGAGGGCATGCCCAGTTCTCACACTAGGCCCAGAGAAGGCAAGAGCCCCAACTCAGGGCCTCTGGTGCTCCCAGAACCACAAGGATGGAATGGCCAGCATGGGCACAGCCTTACCCACAGAGACCAGGTGTCCAAAGGTTTCCAACATCACATCGTGGTACTCGGTCCTCTGCGTCGGGTCCAGCAGCCCCCACTCTTCCTTGCTGAAGTCCACGGCCACATCCAGGAAGGTCACTGGTTCCTGTAATGCCACAATCTGTGCCTGCTCAGCAGGAGGGTCATTGACAGGGACAGAAGGAAGGACGACTGGGGCCTTCCAACAGAGTCTGCTGTGCTGAGGATGCTCCTGCTCTGGGGTTTGTTTAGAAACACTGACTTGGGCTGTAAGAGGCCCAGAGAGTCCATTCTCACAAAATCAGAGGCCGGGGCCCAGGCTGGAGGCAGGTCCTTGCTTCACTAGGAGCTACAAGTGCCGTAAGCAGACTGCCTCCACTCTACCCAACCCTGTATGCAGCTCACCCTTTCCCTGCAACTTCCCACAGAAGACTGCCGCCGAGACAAGCCCCCCTCCTAGGCACACCCCGTTCTCCTGGGAATAGTCCCTCCACATGTGGGAGAACCAGCCCCTGCCTTTGTGGACTGGGGCTGCTTCGGGGTGGGGTGGCCGGAGGCTGCACTGAGATCAGTCCTTTCTGGGCAGCTGGCCAGAACTCTGGCATGAAGAGGGCTCCCAATGGCACTCTGCCTGGATCTGGGAGGCCTTTTGCCCATGAGGGGCAGAGCCTGCTTCAGAAGGAAGGAGAGAAAGCAGAACCATTAGACCAGGACTAGACAGGCGTTCTTCTCTCTCATCACTTGGAAGCCCCTGAATACAGCCTTGCCTAAAGCCTACCTCAGACCACTGATTATGTGAGAGCCAATAAATTCACCTTATGCTTGAGCCAGTTGCGAGCCACTTGCAGCAGAGAGAATCCTGAGAATGCCACGCACGGCATCATTCGGTCGCACTCTCTGACCTCCATAGTTAGCAAGACGGGGTACTGCTGTTTCATCTGTGCCCTGGCTCTGGGCTATTTCTGAAGCAAATCCCAGATATTTTTTCTATCATAAATACCTAAATATGCATTTCTGAAGGACAAGGGCTCTCTTGTTCTCACCCAGACCCAGACATGGTCTGCATGCCCCTGCCTGGGGCTCCCAAGTGTCTATAAACACTTGGCCCCTTCCTTTTGCTTCCAAATTTCTTGACTTCCAGTCACTGTGCCCTTTCTTGGTCTCCGTGGTGGCAGCAAGGCAGCCCAGCCCTTCACGCTCAGAAACTCTGAAAGGCCTGGCTGGTGGAAGATGGGGTTTGGGGGAGGTCACCTCACAGGGGATGCTGTGACCAGAGAAGGAAGGGGTGGCACTCCCCACTCACCTCAGGTGGTGCCTTCGCTGGCCAGGTAGTCATGTGCTCCTCCTCCTCTTCCTGAGGAGCTGTGGTCTGGAGAGAGCAGGTGGGGTCCTGGGCGGGTAATGCTGGGAGGAGACATGAGCACAGAGTCAGCCAGGTGTGGTGCTACATCCAGGACAGGGCAATGACAGCCATGTTTCTCTCTGGGACCCATGGGGCCAGCACACACATCGTATCCTGCTGTTGCTGCTGTGAGGGCTTCTGTGCCCACCCTTTTCCTCACCAGCTCAGGTCCCCACTCTGGCTCCTCTTCACAGCCCATGGCCCAAATCCCCACACTTGGATAGCTCAGGGTGCATCACCCCATGTGACTATAGGGCACTGGTGTCCCCACTGCTGAGACCCCGATCTCACTCCCTCCCTAAGAACTGTTCTGGACCCAGTCCCTCTTCCGAGGCAGCTGCCTCATCTCCCCATTCGCCTCAGCAGCTGGCCTCACACCTGTCCTCAGAAGCAAAGACCCCATTTCTGGCCTCCAAGTACTCCACACTCTTCCTCTTTCCCTTTTCCACGGAGATTGGGACTTCCTCTGATTCCCAGGACTGGACCTATTCTTGTAACACACGCCCATCTTGATGAGAATTTTATCAAGTTTCCTCCACCTCAGAAAACAGTTCTACCTGGCCTTACGGCCCCCTTTCAATCACAGCTCCTTCATGCCTGACTCTTCATCTGTCCCCAACTGGTCCATGGGCTTCTATAATGATGACTCCACACCCACTATCAAGGGGAACACATGATGTGACCCAGGATGGCCCACCAGGCTGCTGCTTTCTTCTGGCCACAATGATTAGATCACGCATGAATACAGGGCCCACAGCTAGACAATCAGAGCCAAAGAGGCTTTTGTTGGAACACTTAGGAAAGAGCACTCTGTGCAGGGAGCCCCCACATGGAGACAGCTTGCCTGTGAGTGAAGCTGACAGACGCCAGCAGAACTATGATAGAGGAGAGAAGATGAGTCCTGAGAACACTACAGGAGCTCCTGGGTCCAGCCATGCCTAAAGCTTGTAGATCGCCCTGGGACTTTTTGAGTAGATTCTCCTCCCTTGGCAATCACAACCAAGAGTCCCAACTAACTTGCTGATCACAAATGCAGGATTCTCAGAGTTCTCTGGAAAGCCTCTTCCCACCGTCCTCTGTGATATTAACTGATTTCCCATCCACCCCCAAGGTGTAAAATGTAAGACCGACTGGCTTTCATCTCATGAGCTCTACAACTGTCTCCTTGGCATCTCTATCAGTTCCCTATTGCTGTAACAACTTGCCACAATAGCGGCTAAAAATAATGCAAATTTGATTTCTTATGATTACAGAGATTAGAAGTCTGACACCAGCCTCACTGGGCTAAAATCAAGGTGTTGGCAGGGCTACCTCCCTTTTGGAGGCTCTGGGGGAAAATATATTCCTCACCTTTTCCAGTATCTGGAGGACACCTAAAATACTTGGCTCCTGGCCCTTCCTTGTGACACCCTGCTTCGGGGTCACGTGTCTTCTCCACCTCTAATGTTCATGACTGCCTCTTTGTAGGTACCCTTGTGATTACATTTGGGCCCACCCAAATAATCCAGGATAATCTCCCCATCTCGAGATCCTCAATTTAATCAATGGCATCTGAAAAGTCACTTTCACTGTGTGAGGTTACATATTCGGGTAAGCAAGGAAGCAGTGTCCGTGTTCCATGGAACTCAGCCTGACAGAAATCAAGTTTCATGCAATCTCACCCCCAAATGCACCCTACACATACACTCCCATCTCAGCTCCCCACCACTGTCACTCCTGCCCTAGCCACACCTCGAAGAGGGCATGGTGATAACTCTGGGTGGCCAATCTGCTTCTCGTTTTGACCCTGTTCTCCGTCCACCATCCAGAGCAAGCTGCACCCTGGTAAATCTTTAAAGCTCAATCAGAGTATGTCACATAACTCTAGGGAGGGCTCATGGATTGGTTCCCACTGCTTTAGAATAACACTTCTCATTGCTTTAGAACAACATGAAAATCTCTTCAAGGGCCCTGCCAGCCCTGCCCCTGCTCCCTTCTACTAGAGACCTACCCAGTTTCTCTCTGATTTTGGAGTATACTGTTTTTTGCTCCCATTTTGGGCCTTCACAGGTGATGCTCCCCTGCTTGGCACATCCTTCCTGCCCACTTCTTCTTCTTTTTTTTTAAGATTTATGTATTTGCAAGAGAGAGAACATGCATGTGCATAATTGGGGGAGGGGTAGAGGGGAGCTGAAGAGGGAGAGAAGCAGACTCTCGGCTGAGCATGGAGCCTGCCTTGGGGCTCAATCTCATGATCTGAGCCGAAATCAAGAGTCAGCCACTTAACTGACTGAGCCACCCAGGCGCCCCCTTCCTGCCCACTTCTGAGTTCCACTCCACACCAAGTGTTGGCTACAGCAACTTGCCTCCAGGAGCCCCGCCAGCACCCTTGAGTTCTTCTCAACCCCACCATTGTCACATGCATATTTGTTTGTCAAATTCCCATCATTCCTGCTGGACCTAAGGTTTGTTGAGCTCATGAGTCTAAGTCTTGACTGTTTTGGTCACCACTTTACCCACATCCCCCACCAAGTGCAAGACATCAGAAGGCACTCTGGGAGGGGCGCCTGGCTGGATCAATTAGTAGAGCATGTGACTCTTGATCTTGGGGTTGTAAGTTTGAACCCCACGTTGGGTGTAGAAATTACCTGAAAAAATAAAATCTTAAAAAAAAAAAAAAGAATGCATTCTGGGAATATGCCTAAGTGACTAAAATCATGTTTTCTATTAGTTGTAGTGCAGCAGGGATCCCAAAAGGGTGAAAACGAAGGATTTAAATGTAAGCTTCTCTCAGAAGCCTGGGGAGGGCTGGTTAAAGTGTAGTCCCAGACCCTACCCAAAGGTTTCAGTAGCTGTGAGGTGTGGCCTGAAACTTTCCATTTCCAGAGATAGGTCCAGGGATAAGACCATTCTCAGATCCCTTGACCTAGAGACAATGGTAGGTACTTCAGCAAGGAAGTATCTAAAGTTCTGACTCAGGAACATGTTCAGGAGGCAGATGCCCTTGGCCTAAATGGAGAGAGCATGACCCTTCCCCGACCTCTTCCAGGAACCCTTAATTCTTCCTTCCCCCATCCTCCAAGATGCCCCCAACAGGAGTGTCTCTCACCACCCGTCTATTGCACTTACTTTCCTCCTCAGATATCCAGGTTACATCCTCCACCAGGGACACTGCCTCCTGACAGTCCTCTGGGTGCTGCGACTCCACCCACATCCGGAGCTTCCTGGGCAGTGCACCCAGGAACTGCTCCAGCACCAGCAGCTCCAGCATCTGCTCCTTGGAGTGCGCCTCGGGCCGCAGCCACTGGCGGCACAGCTCCCGGAGCCGGGCCAGGGCCTCTCGGGGACCCGCCACTTCCTCAAAGCAAAAGCCCCGGAACCTCTGGTGCGCAGCTTCAGGGTCAGCCGGATGCTTGCCTAGCTGTTGAGTGGGCTCCCCGAGCACATCTGGGCTCAGGCCCTCATCTTCAGCATAGAGGGCCCGGATCTGGGCGTTTCGGGGACGAGCTATCTCTTGGTTCAGTGTGAGGACTTCAACGACTTTGATCTTCATCAGGGGATTCCCAGCAGGAAGAGGATCCAATTGAGGGTCCAGCTGAGCTGCAGGATACTCTGTCAGTCAAAAGCACAGCCAGACAGATGGCCAACAAGCACATGAAGACGGTCAACATTATTTACCACCAGAGAAATGTAAATCAAAATCACTGTGAGATACTACCTCATACTCACTAGGATGACTATTACCAAAGACAGACGGTAACAACTATTGGTGATGATGTGGAGAAACTGCTGTTGGTGGGAATACAGAATCCTGCACCATTTTGCAAAACAGTCTGACAGCTCCTCAAAAACTTAAACATAGACTTATATTATGACCCAGGAATTCTCCTAGGTATGCATCCCAGATAAACGAAAACAGATGTCAACACCAACACTTGTACAGGAATGTTCATAGCAGCATTATGCATAAGAGCCAAAAAGAGAAACAACTCAAAATGTCCATCAAATGAAGGGTGGATAAATTAAATGTGGTCTACCCACACAATGGAATATTATTTGGCAGTAAAAAGGAATGAAGTACTGACCCATGCTACAGTACAACTAAACCCTGACAATACTATGCTGAGTGCAAGAAGTCAAACACCAAAGGTTATTTATGGTACGATTCCATTTACATGAAATGTCCAAAAGAGACCAATATAGACACAAAGTAGATTAGTGGTTCCAGGAGATAGAGCATTGAGGAGTTTGGGGGGTGCTGGCTAATGAAGTTTTTTTGGAGGGTGATGAAAATGTTCTGAAATTAGATTGCAGTGATGGCTACACAACCTTGTAAATATAATAAAAACCACTGAACTGTACACTCTCAACAGGTGAACTTTATAAATTATATTTCAAAACAGAGGGGAAGAAAAGAAAAGGCAAGGAGGATCAAGAAGAGACCTATGATGCTGTATAGGTCTGCAGCCACACACAGGGAATAGAACCTGATCCTGCCTCCATGGGGGCCAAGAAGATGACTGCGAAAGTCAGGGGCTCTGTGTCAGAAGAGCATCTGCTGAACACAACCCTAGAATGGCCCCAAAATGCTAAGGAGGACACACAAACCAACAGGACATGAGAAAGCTCTTTACAACTCCAAGAAGAAATGCTAATTGACTAAATGACTTAAAAGCTTGAAAAACAGTAAACAGAAAAAAATGTAACCACGGATTATAGTTTACTTCCAATTAGATGTTGATTTATAAACACAGAAATGGCAGGGCTGATGTCTGCAAGAACAAATGGACCCTCTCAACCTTGCTGTTTTGAATATACATGATTAGCACAATTCTACCTGGAAGGGAATTTACAGCATGAACTCAAAGCCTGAGCAACGAATGCCCAGGAAAATACCGGGGGACTTTCACCAGATTAATCTACTCGTGGTCAGGGAGCTCTCCAAAGAGGACACAGATGTAAACACACCAAGGGAATGAGTATTCGGAGACAAAGGCCAGACCACATATGACGGAAGAACTCTGACACTGAAACCTGTGGCAACAAGCCCAGACCGTCAGAACTTGTTTAACGACTGCCAGTTTCTCTTTTTCACCCCGCAAGTCAGTAACCCCCAGTGAGAACGTTCCTTTTTTTCGCTGTAACTCTTCCCAGTCCCTGCCTCCCTTGCTGCAGTGGGCTCCCAGGAGATAGCCTCTGCCTATCCTCATTTGGGTGGTCTTTTTCCCACGACACTTTGCTGAGCAATGAATGGCATATGATGGAGCAAAACTGGAAAACAGGCAGTGTTAAAACACGGCTCAAGAAAATTGTGAAGGATTCATATGTAAGCATTAAAAATAACATTGTTTTTAGTGTGATGATTACAACGCAGGAAAGCTCCTGCCACGTGAAGCAAAAAAGCGGAGCAGGAAATTACTGGTGTGGAGTCACTGCAGCTATGTTATTAAAAACAAAACAAAACACAAAACAACCCAAGTCGTAAAGACACGAAGAACAGCCGCTGCCCGCCTAAATCGCGCCAGGTTTTTTCTCCTCCGTGCCCATCATCCGAGCACCTGCAGATTAAATCGGCCGCCACGCATTCTTCTAAGCGGTGCTCGGCGGCTGGGCTTCCAGAAGCGCGGCGTTGCCGGGGAAGCGTCTCGGGCGGAGGCCGCAGCCACAAGCACACGTTTCCGCTCGCGTTCGGGAAACTGAAGCAAGCCTCCGTCCCCCTCCCCCCGGGGAAATGGGGCGACACCGCCGAGGTCCCCACAGCCAAGCCCGGATCCCCCAGTCCCGAAGAGCGTAGGCCGCCACTTCCGGTCGGGCCAAGAAGTGCGTCACGCGCCCGACACAGACGCACTACAATTCCCAGGAACCTCCGCGACGCACGCTTCCGGTGCCGCCATGTTGAGGCTCTGGGTCCGGCCCAGGCCCTGACCAGACGGTGGCCCCTTGGCTAGTTGCTGGGCCCTGAGCTGCGGCCTCTTCCGCTCTCGTTCCCTCCCCCGACCCCCCGCGACGGCGGACGCGCCCTGGGACGGCGCGGGCGCAGCCAGAACTTCCACACCCACCTTGCTGATCTGCAAGTTTTCTTTGGGCAAGTGCGGGGCGGGGGAGAGCGCGGTCGCTTCCCCGAGGCAGCGATTCTCCCGTATTCCTAATCCATCTTCGTGCCCCCGATTCGAAATCCTTTCCCCGTTCCCGTAGGGTTTTCTTTTTTCTTCCCTCTAAATTTCCAGATTACAAACCTTAGCTCGTATGTCGTTTCCTCGGGTTACCGGTTTCATAAACCTAACTAGTGCTGGAAACTGCTGGCGCGCCACCCGAGAAGTGAGTCAGCTCGGGGTCAGGAGTCGCCCGCGATGGGTGGGGCCGCGCCCGCCGCCCCGGACGGGCCTTGGGCGCTTGGGGTTGCAAAACGCGTCCTGGGCCGCGCTTTTTAATCTTGGCCACAGCCACACTCCTTTCCTAGGTTTAAAGTGACTGTTTTCCTTGATAAAAGTAACTACAGTGTTGATCTCCATTTCCGACCTCTTCCCCTAAACTTCTGTACTAATTTCATTTGAGGGCTTCCCTTCCCAACTCGTTTATATCTGCCGTTGTATTTAGCATTTCATTCCCTTCCTGTTCCTTAGGACTTCTGGGGGTTCATCCCCCCCATTCTTGATTTGAAAGCAAAGTTCATGTATTCCCTTTCAATTAGAGCTCTTAGAGCTTGAAATTTCCCTGAGTAACTCAGGAAGCCAGGGATGGCAATTTCCTCAATTCCCAAGCGGAATTCCGAGGGGAGGTAGCGCTCCCTAGTGGCTCCTTGCTGGCCCACGGGTACCATGTTGAGCAATAATCCTGCATGACACTTAAAATTTTTTTTTATTCTCCACAATGCTTCCCAGCTTTCTAATTTCTAAAACTTGTTTTTTATTCCTTGGTTAGTCACAGAGATTATTTAGTACTTTATCTCTTAAGAAATTAACTGTAGGTTCATTTTATTCCACTCCATCCCCCTTATTTCTCCTTTAATCCTGATCATGTATTTTGTTCCTCCTCTTATCCTTGGGGGCACCAGGGCAATTTCTCAAAATCTTGAACTGAATGCTCATTCAAAAATATTAACTCTTACCGTTTTAAGTTTTAGAGCCTCGGCAGGTTTGGTTGTTGGGAACTCTGATCATTGTGATGCTGAGAGGCTCAGTGGATCTGCAGTCTGGCTCTCCCTGCTGTTAGCAGCCCTTCAGGACAACACACATTCTGAAGGGTAATCGTAAAGCATCTACTGGGTGCTATGCAACGAGATGGGTCACAAGCCTGGAAGCCACTGGTAAGTGTCATTCTAGGCACTGCAGTTCTCTAAATCTCTTATTCTTTGGACCATCCCCTAACCACTGTCTGTGCCAGCAAGTATTCACCCCACTTCACAAAGGTGAAACCTCTTAAGTTTACCAGCTGGCAGAGTTGGAAATGGATCCTCAACTCATGGGGCAAAGCTGGGACTGACTGACCCACTCATCTGCATGGAGCTACACAAAATAATCTCTATCAACTGCAGCTCCAAGTCCTGGTTTTCAATCCACCAACTGAATGATCTAGGGTAGGAAAAGCTGATAGGAGTTGCTGTTTTCTTCCTCCTCTTAGTTTTCTTCTCTCATGTTGTCTCTGATGCTTCCCTTCCAGGGTAAACCATCTCTCCTCAGTGCTCAATAGTTCATGACTAACCAGGTATACTAAGGCTACCAGTCCACAAATATAACAGTAACTAATAATAGTGACTTTTCACGATCTTGTTGTGGGCCAGGGTCAGGAAGAGTGCTTATCTCAGCTCCCCCCATCCCTGTGTACACTCCCTTGTTCCTTTTTTCTCCTTGTCCAGAATGCCCCCAGCTCTTCACCCTTTCTCCTCCTCTCCCCATCACGCACTCTTCAGCTCTGCAGGCACCCCATGGCATCACCTTCTAAGTTTTTTTACTCCACTGGACTGCTGAGGATGTCAACTGGGTCTTGTACATTCGAAACCCTAAAGCCAGGCCCAGAGGAGGATCTGTCAAAGGTGTTGATGATCATCTTTACATCAAAGTCTTTGAATAATAGTAGTTACTGTTACATGAAGGCCCCCCAAGACCTGGGCTTTACACACCACAGTCCCACTAAGCAATAGCATCCATCCTTCACACAAAGGAAATCCATGCTGGGAGAGCCTAGGAGCCCTGCGCAGGCCACAATGGGGAACACAGCAGCTGGGATCCAAACCCTGTTCTTTTATGCCGTTTACACCAAAGGGTGCTTCTCACAGCCACTATCTTAATTTTCCTCAAACGTGCCAAAGTGTGCCTTGTCTATAGGTATTTGTACTCCCCTCACTCCTGCCTCGTAGTATTTCCCCTAACATCTTCACCTGGTATCCCCTTCCAGCTCTAAATTCAAGTATCAGTTCCTCAGAACTGTCTTCCTGCCCAGTTCTAAACTAGTATTGCCCACCCATGTCACTCCCCTCTAGCATATTCCATTGTTTCATTTTTCTTCAGGGCACTGACTGCCATTTCAAAGTATCTGCTTCATTATCACTCTCTACCTTCTCTACAGCACTGCCCAATGGAGCTCTCTTCGTTTAAAGAAATGTTCCAGATACACTGTCCAACATAGTAGTCTTTAGCTGCAGGTGACCAGTGACCATCTGAAAGATGGCCAATGTGACTAAGGAACTGAACTGTTTTAAGCTCATTTTAGTCTGTTTAAATGTAATCAGCCACATGCTAGTGGCTGCTCCGGAATAAATACAGGCCCAGTGAGACAGACAAGGGGCCTTACTACCCTGCTCAACACTGTGACCCACCCCTGTAACAGTATGTGGCATTTTGGCAGGTGCTCAAGCAGTATTTATTGACTCAACACAGCTTCAAAGAGTGACTTAAGTGTTTTAACTGTCTGGATTTTCCCATATTTCTGTCATATTACAGGGAATCTCACTAGCATTTTAGTTGTGTCCCACCTGTAAATTATAATGGGAGGACTGCTGTTGCTACAAAGTTCCCTTCTACTTGAGAGCCAGAGCAGGATGGGAGTGTAGGCCACCAAGTAAGAAGACACCTGGTCTATACTCCCCCTGCTTCTTCCCAGACCAGCCAGGTCAGAGACTTGCATTTCTGCTTCTGTTGGTAGAATGGCTACATCAACACTTGTCTAGAGGCTGCTGGCTGGAATGATGGTAGGACTTAAGAATGGGACTTCGTGGGCACCTGGGTGGCTCAGATGGTTAAGCGTCTGCCTTCGGCTCAGGTCATGATCCCAGGGTCCTGGGATCGAGTCCTGCATTGGGCTCTCTGCTCCTTGGGAGCCTGCTTCTCCCTCTGCCTCTCTCTCTCATGAATAAATAAATAAAATCTTAAAAAAAAAAGAATGGGACTTTGTAACACTTCACTCTACCTCTGAAACTAATGATTAAAAAAAAAAGTCACTGCTTCTACTTATTCTATATCCAACTTAGTTTTTTCAAATAGAAATTCCTTAATACTTTATTCCTTAAAAATTCCTAATCATTTCTTAAATAATTTATTCTTAGGGCACCTGGGTGGCTCAGATGGTTAAGCATCTGCCTTAGGCTCAGGTCATGATCCCAGGGTCCTGGGATCGAGCCCCGCGTCGGGCTCCCTGCTCCTTGGGAACCTGCTTCTCCCTCTGCCTCTCTGTCTCTCATGAATAAATAAATCTTAAAAAAATAATACTAATAATTTATTCTTAGATCCCATTTCAAACACCTATTAACAAAATCTTTCCTTTTAAATTGGCTACTCCTGGTATAAGCCAAAGCTATTAGTCTCTGTATTATTTTGTAATTTGTCACACTGATGAACAAACTATTTCAGAGGATTAGTTTTTTTAAAGTGGTTAACTGTTAAGTTACAAATATTTCCTTTTTAATATTTTTCTTATTTTGTGCTTGAGTGAGAACAATGCTATGTATACTTTGCAAAGTCTGTCAACATTCCAGCCTGTTCTGTCATTGAACTGCTCATGTTCCATGGAAATTGTCTTTTAACAAGAAGTTGGAAAATATTCACTGTCCAGGTCAATAACAGGCAGATCGCCACTTTGTTCTAGAAAAGTTAACTTTAGTATTTTTCTGTGACCCACTTTGGACAACCTTACACTTTTCCAGAAATCTTTCCATTTTATTGTTTGCTCATTCTCACACTCAAGAAGTAATTCCTGGGCACCTATGTGTCAGGGACTTGTAACACAGCAGGAAAAAGATAGCAGTTTCCAATTTATCGGCATGGTTATGGGCAACACTTCTTAAAATGCAAAGTTACCCTCCCACCCAGTTTCCTTCTCAGGAAGTCCTCACAGCCTATCAGCTTCTATATTCAGTGATAACCAACTGACATACACATTTGTGTATTTTTTTTTTTAAAGACACTGATATTACGTGCATCTATGTATCTTTATACATCTTAAACAATATATTTTTAAGAAATACATGTATCTTGGAAACTTTCACATCAGTACATAGACCTGGCTCATTCTTTGTTACAGTTGTACAAAGCATTATAAACTACACGTGTTGCTGAATGTGTGTGTACTGCTGTTTCCCTGTGTAGGTTTTTAATTTGCCTTTTGTCCTTCCAGAAAATTAGCTCTTGGGTTCTTTTTCTTCTTCTCCATTTTTGATTCCATTTATTTGAACTGTATTTATCTTTCCTCTTTCCTTAGGGCTTTTGGAGTCAAATGCTTCTTAGTTCATTTGTTTTCCTTTTTTTTTTAAGCAATCTCTTCACCCAACATGGAGCTTGAACTCAAGACCCCAAGGTCAAGAGTCACATGCTCATCCTACCGAGCCAGCCTTGTGCCCCTATTTTCCTTCTTATTCAATTAAAAGGCATTTTCAGGCCTTGAAATTACCCCAGGGATTACATCTGGACACCAGGCAGAGCAGCTTCCAGATAAAAGGATCAAGATTACATGGGTCCAGGGTGCCTGGGTGGCTCAGCCGGTTAAGCCTCTGCCTTCGGCTCAGGTCATGATCCCAGGGTCCTGGGATCGAGTCCCGCATCGGGCTCCCTGCTCTGTGGGGAGCCTGCTTCTCCCTCACCTCCCCACTTGTGCTCTCTCACTATCTCTGTCTCTCTCTCTCAAATAAATAAAATCTAAAAAAAAAAAAAAAGGATTACATGGGTCCAAAAGAGCAAATATACGGAAGGTGACAGAGAATGTATTCTTTTTTTTTTTTTTTTAAGATTTTATTTATTTATTTGAG